ACTATTTTCGCCGGTCGCTTAGCTGGAGGAGGGCAAGCGATTGTCGCCTCACCGCACAGGCTCCATAGGAAATGAATGGAGAGCGAGCAACGTCGTCTCCCGTGTGTCGAGCCCTTTAGGAAGCTAAAAATTCACAGCTGTGCCTTCACACTTAAATCTTTACTAAGCACAAGTCATTCAAAATTCTATGTAAATAAACAAACACAGATCACCAGCATTAATATCACTTAATGAACCATAATGTAATAGATCAAAATTTCCCCAACAGTGGGTTCAGCTTTTTGGTTTAAGATTAAAGTGTAAATTGAGTTTAGGTTAGGTTTAGGGTAAGTAGTCAGGTTAGGGGAGTATTCACTCAGAGGGTCCCACCTGCCGCCCGATGACTCTGCAGAGTTGGTAAAGCCCTATAGGAAGTGCACGCTCGCTTGAGATCAGGTCCAGTCCTGGTCCACTGGGTCCTGTCTTTATGGGAAGTGCATGGTGGAGTCGGCTGTTTCAGTTGGAGACAGCCTTTTGATTTGTGTTTTGCTGTAAGATGTAGTGGAATATAGCTGGTATATTCCAGTGAGTGTAGGTTTACTGTTTGAGTAGAACTCAGCCAGTACATTGCATGTTTGTCATGTGCTGTGTTTCATAGAGAGGGAGCAGAGTTCAGACAAGGGAGGTTTAGGCAGAGTAGGATGAGAATTGGGGGAGGGGTCAGGTCTGGTAGGTGTATATAGGATGTTTAAAATGGGGTTAATCTACTCAAAATAAATGTTTTGATTATTTAGAAGAGTTCCTTTTAGTAACTGTTTACAGGTCTTATTTTCTGGTTTAGATGTATATTTGAGTTGTTAATATAGCGTTGACCCGTCAGTTAGGGGGACTAGCTTAATTGTGGTAGTACTCTCTGTCATGGTGCCGTGTTATGTAGGTGACACATAATGCTTTGTGGTTGGGTAGGGGACATGGTTTTTTGTGGTGGAGGGCTAGTATTTGGTGGATTGATTTGTGGTTTGCTGGGGATTGGTGAATTAGATTTAATGTATGGGCCTCGTTGTTGTAATAGTTATTTTATTATTTTGAATAGTATTTCTTGGCTATTTTTAGGTCTGAACTTTAAAGAGTCTGGGTATTTTGGACCTCTGTTTTTGGATTTAGGGTTCTTTAGGTAAGATTTTTTTATATATGTATTTTATTTTGTATGTACTGTTTGTATGTATGTATGTATGTATGTATGTATGTATGTATGTATGTATGTATGTATGTATGTATGTA